ACCACAAAATGGCGGTGTGTGGTGGCAGAGATACTTTCGGTGATCTAACCGCAAGGAACTCTGGGAAGGAGAATGACAAAACACATGTGATATTGAGCACACTGATGAGTGATCCTGATTAATTGAGATAAAAAACTAAGATTACATAAACATCAATGTAGTAACACAGCACAGGATTCCAGTGTACAATGTAGTAACCTCATTATCATATTCAGCGACACTGTGGTGCATCTGTGCCTGCACTGAAAGCATACTACAAACGACACACTAAAACACATGCGCTGTTGGTCAGGAACACTACAATTGATAAGATTTTGAAACAAGGATATCCAACTATTAACTTCTCATTTCATCAGGATTCACACTTCAGACCTTGAATAAAAAGCAAGAACACTATCAAGACATGCAAGTTATAGAGCACCAACGTTTGCTTACGTTTACTATCAACAATGAACTCTGTTGTCAGCTGTGAACCTGAAACTTGGTTTGCTAGAGTTGATAAAAGATGAGATAAATGTCCGAGAATTCAGGGTTATACAGAATTTGATGAACACATGTACAGAATTATATGCTAGATGCAAGTGTTATAAATATTGTATGATTAGCACTAACCTTCTATGAGACTGCCACCACTAGCAGCAACCGAGTCTTTGTCCGATTCCCGATCTTTTCTTTCACGTATCATGCTATGTGCTGTTTTTGGCGGCTCAGGCGGTGGATCAAACCAACGTGACAATGATGAAAAGCTAATAATGATTTCACTTGATTCTAAACTATCAACAACTGGAAGCAGCATTAAGGAAAACAGTTGCAATTATGCACAGATGCCAAAGCAGTAATTTAGAAATCAATAGCTTGGCTTTTCGTCCCTTGAAAATTTAAATATGCACATGAGTGTCAGGGAATCAGCATTTTAAGCAAGGAACAGAAAGAAGGTAAATGAAAAGATGTAGAATCTGAACATGGTACATGTATGTTATGTATGTGCACTGTACAGTTGCATACATGTACCTTTTTTGCTAGGAAACCTTTTTGACAGGTATAAGGTTAAATAGTGGCTTTATCTGCTTCAGTTTATTCTAGTTTCAGTAGTAGAATCTTATTCTTTAAAATGTTTTAACATTTTCAAACAAGAAATTTGAAAAAAAGAAATGAAATAAAATCACTTTTTGCCCACAAGAGGGCACTGTTCATAGCTACACATATATAAAAGGATACACATATACTGTGGCTGTCTATCGTCACCTTGGCCCTGCTAAACAGAATAGAGTACAAGTTAGCGACAAGGGATCTGGATTAATTCTATACACATCAGCAAATTCATGAAACACAAATTGATTTTTTTACTAAGTTGCACAAAAACATTCAGTTTCGGCTACTTGATGTGTTATTGTTAATTTATGAGTAAGTTGGTTAATCATAACATGTTTTCAAGACTTGCAGCCAAAACTGAAGTTATTTTATTCAGAATCAGAAGACAGTTGAAAAAGAATTTTAAACACTCATAATTTCAAAATATTTTTTTGTTTTATTCAACAAGTAAAAAATTTATCAGTTTTTTTAAAAACTATTACTACAGTTATGAACAATTATTTTGTTATAATCTGGTGAGTTATTAAGCGTGTAATTATACAAGAAGTGCAAAGATGCTGCCATCATTTATTGAGGCCAGAGATCTGAGAATTCAATTTTGTAATTTGGATATTGGCATGTTTCTTTCCAGTTGAACAAAATGCATTGATGTGAAATCACA